CTCCGCCTGGCTTTGAACTGTTCTTTCCCTCCGCTCTTAGGATGAGGTGGGCGCGCCGGGCATAGTGGTTGGAGTCTCAGTAGATGGAAGAGAAGTCTGGTCGGAAGGTGGGCTCAGAAAAGTTTTATTTCTTGGCTTGTTTTGTGTCAGTCGATGAATGAAATCTTGACGCGTTACTGTTTGGAGTGAATCCCATGAAGTGCTGTTCAGTTTTCATAAAACCGTACATACTGCGAAGAAATCATGTTTAACAACAAAGAATCGGGCTTTTTATGAACAGCAGGGTTTAAAATTTGACTCTAGTGAATAAATCGGACTCTTAAAGTTGGCTTGTATCTATGCTACTTTCCTGTAGGACTGGGTTTATTGTTCTCAAAGCTGTGTGTTAAGTAGTCTGTTAACTGCACCTGTGTAGATACCCTTTATACTCGAGTAGATAAAACGTCAGAATTTTGTGTTTTTCTTTAACTCAGTCAATGACTTACTTGAGTCCTCTGTTCTGTAAAATACACTGTACTGAGAACTGGGGATATACACGATTCCTTGTCCTTAATGTGTCTATAAGCTACTTTATCACTTTTTTTTTTAACTGTGCAGAAGTGTCAGCTATTTTTTCAAACAAAAAGGCAGCAGCTTTGGAAGAGAAATTTCTAATCATTTTATGATAGTTTTGTCAAAGCATATTTTATAACTTGATTCTTGATTTACTTTTCCGTTGCACACAAATTAGTCCAATTGGTCATAGCGGGTTTTTTGGAACAAACTTTTAGGAAATGTTTCAGACATCATTTAGCGGAAGTACTACTTTTAGAAGCTGATAGGAGCAGTAGAGTTTTGAATTTAAAGAAAAATGATTCTTCCCCCAAGTTAAAGTATAGCTGATCAATATACCTAATACGAAAGATAATTGTAATAAAAATTATATAAGTGCTCTATAGCTGAGGGCTTTATTTTTATGAAAATATTTTTCAGCATAATCTATATTTACAGTAGAAAATAATTATTGTATGCCTTTTTATTCTTTTCAGATCTCAATTCTTTGTATGTGTTAGATTTCTATACTTTTGGCCTACAGAAGATGAAACCATACTTAAAACATTTTCTAGAAGGAGTTTCAACTCCTTCTTTTGACTTGCAGCTGAATTAAATTGATGCTAAACTAGGTTGGCTTTGCAGGGCATCTTTTCATGTTTGTTTTTATTGGTGGTTATTTTTAGGAATTTTTGTGGAAACTCAAAGATCAAGAATAAATGTAATCTGAAGAATAGTGATGTTGTCTTTAGAGAATGTAGAGTAATTTATTTAAAATGTGGAATATCCAAATTGTTAGATAAGCTAAGAAAAATCAGTGTCTGAGTCAAAAAATTACTGTTATGACAAGGTACTATTTTCAGTTTAGTTATAAGGTTAAATTGTTAGGCTTACTCTTGTCAGAATGGCTAAGACTCTTACCCATTGCCTATTCATAGTAATTAACTTACAGAAGTGGAATTTCTTTTCCTTTAGATAAACACACCAAATGTTTTAAGATAGTATCATTTCAGTTTTTGAAGTGACCGTGAAGCCTATTAATAGTGACTTTTTGCTTTATTCCCCCGAAGGTTTAGGTTATGCTGATGTTGAGAACCGTGTGCCATGCAAGCCAGAGACAGTTATGAGAATTGCCAGTATCAGCAAAAGCCTCACTATGGTTGCTCTTGCCAAATTGTGGGAAGCAGGGAAACTGGACCTTGATATTCCAGTACAACATTATGTTCCTGAATTCCCAGAAAAAGAGTATGAAGGTGAAAAGGTAATGAAACTCACAATTCATTTTTCTAATGACATTTAAGTGGCTTAAAAAGTTTCATAAGATTCTTTGGTTTGTTTTTAATTATTTTTAATGGGTTAAAGTTTTGTTTTATCCAGATAATATCCCAGTGGGTATTTTTCTGAAATTTGAGGCTAAACTTGTGCACATGACACATTTTTTCCAGCAGCAGTTTAAAATGGAAAATATTACTGAGGCATTATTCCAAGGCTACTAACTTTTTATTATACAGCTGAACACTGTAATTGAATTTTTGTGTTTTTACAATTAGGTTTCTGTCACAACAAGATTATTGATTTCTCACTTAAGTGGAATTCGTCATTATGAAAAGGACATGAAAAAGGTGAAAGAAGAGAAAGCTTGTAAAGCCTTGAAGATGATGAAAGGGACGTTGGAATCTGACCAAGAAAAAGAGTTAAAAGAAAGAGCAGGCAAAAGTAATGAAAAGAATGACTTTGCTAAAGCTAAGACAGAGCACGATAATGAAGCCAAAGGCCGAAATTCAAAACCTTGCAAGAAAAAGAATGATTTTGAACAAGGCGAATTATATTTGAAGGAAAAGTTTGAAAATTCAATTGAATCCCTAAGATTATTTAAAAATGACCCCTTGTTCTTTAAACCTGGTGAGTATTAATTTCTTCTCTTTACAAAATCATCATTATTCAAGTATTAATTTTCAGAATATCTAAAATGATACCATCCTGAGTGCATTCGATGTGGTTGATGATTATGGCATGGATTTTCCTGTCATTCTGATGCCTGCCTTTTTGTCTATAGTTCTTATCAGAACCTAGCATCCAGGCAGCTAGTTGTTTGTTTTAGCCTCATTGGAGGCTACCTAGACATTTAGTGGATTCTCAGTATTGAGATATTCATGGAAAAAATTATATGTTGGAATAATAGTTCTCCAAATAAAATCTGGGCCAAAATTGGCATGATAAAGTGTTAACGTTTTAGTATTTCATTAGTATTTAATTTCGTATTTAAATTGTTCAACTTATTTCGTGCTTTCATAGCATGAAGAAGTTAGTGTCCATCAACTTAATTTTATTTCCCCAAAAGCTGATCTATAAAAATAATTTTTTTGTATACTTTTTGGTATGTCTACCGAAACCACTTAAGTTACATTTAGGTTTATGTACTTGTATTCCATTTTCATTTTAAGGTTTTTTTGTTTTGTTTTGTTTTTACCATGAATAAATATTATATAGGCATAATAAATAAGGGCAAAGAAATATGATTATGGATTTTGTCTTAAAAAATAAGATTCCCATCCATTTTTAGTACAGATCATACAATCTCTGTTGCCAGAATCTAAAATGATATAAAGGTATGTATTCAAAACAATATATATATTTGTATATGTATTTGTGTTTTAATATATATTTGAAACAAGGTTTTTATACCTACATATATTTTACTTAAAAAAAAGAATTTGCACAACTGTTTATGCCTGAAATGATGAGTAGTTAGGTATATTAAGAATACGACAGTTAACTCAGAAAACCAATTTGCTTTTCTTTCCCTTTCTGTTCCGTTGCCAGTTGGAAGGATTTTTTAGTTTAGAGATAGAATTTATTTTCTTATTTCATTATCACAGAAAGGAATAGATTCATGTGAAATTTTAAGTATGCTGATCATTTTATTTTTGTGTTAGGGACATGGAATAAGCAGGGCCATTGCAAAGTTGACTAAATTTGTTAATGTATCATCCATGATCTTCCCCTAAATGCTAAAGTAAAATACTCCAGTTTTAAAGATATGCCAGTTTTCAGTGGGAATATATTTTACATGATTTTAAATAATAATGAAGCATTTTCTTTTTTTTCCCCCTTACAATGATGTCTCAAGGTAGTCAGTTTTTGTATTCAACTTTTGGCTATACCCTACTGGCAGCCATAGTAGAAAGAGCTTCAGGATATAAATATTTGGACTATATGCAGAAAATATTCCATGACTTGGATATGCTGACAACTGTGCAGGAAGAAAATGAACCAGTGATTTACAATAGAGCAAGGTAAATGAATACCTTCTGTTGTGTCTAGCTGTATCTCATCTTCAGAATATGTTATCAATTCAAAGTCACATTTTCTTTGTCTCCATTCCAAAATCAACTTGCCATGTTTTGGGAGCTTTCCTGCATGTCTGTTTTTCCACCTATAATGTAAGGGAGATAAAGTGTATTTATGGGCAGAGGATGTAGCTCAGTGGTAGAGTGCTTGCTTAGCATGCATGAGGTCTTGGGTTCAATCCCCAGAACTTCTGTTAAATAAATAAATAAATAAACCTATTAACCACCCCCCCAAAAAATAAAGGGATTATTTCAGTCTCTTTAAAATAAAAACATTTTTAAAAAATTTTTTTAAATAAAATGTATCTGTAAAGGATCCCAAGATCCTTAGATGAAAGATAGCAACAATAATTTAAGCACATGAATGATTAAAACAAAATTGCTCCCATCGTGGGCATTTATAATTTGCTCTTCCATTATCCCTTTTCTTAAGTTTTAGTTAATACTTTGTTTATTTACCTTTTATTGTTTTTAATTGTTTTTAATTTTGAAATGACTTCATACTTATAGAAACTTATACTAGTATATATTTATGCTAGTACAAAGAATTTTTATACACCTTTCACCCAGATTCCCCAAATGGTAATCATTATCTGTCTGTCTGTATGTTATTTTTTTCTCAGCCATTTGGAAATAAGTTGCAGACATGGTACCCCTTATCCCATAAATACTTAAATGTGTATTTTTAAATAAGGACATTCAGGAAATTAACATCAACAGTGTGCTCACATCAAATCTACAGACCTTATTCAGTTTGCCAATTGTCTCAATAATGTCCTTTATAAGAAAAGGAAAGTACATTTTCTTTTCTGGTGTAGTCTAATATAGGATTACACATTATATTTAGTTGTCAAGTCTCTTAGAAGTCACATGAGTTCAATTTGTTCCTTAACTGGTGATGGTAATTTTAATTGCTCTGTTGAGGTTGTATATACCAGGTTTCTCCACTGTAAGAGTTTAAAATCATTTTATTGAAATGTATCAACTAAAATTTTTTCATAATTTTTACTAGTAATTTGTGTGTGTGGGGAGGATTGGGAGAGAATTCTGAGGCTTAAGACTAATATTAAGTTTTACAGTTACAGTGTTTCTTTTTCTGTTTTACTCTTTTTTTAAAAACTTTTTTTATTGAGTTATAGTCATTTTACAATGTTGTGTCAAGTTCCAGTGTAGAGCACAATCCCATTTCTTGAGAAAGGTAACAACACATTTAATAAATCAACTGTTACTTTTACCTTTTAAGTTTCCATTAGTACATACTTTACAAATGGCTTAATAGTACTTGACTAGGTGAAATGGTGAATTAGCTTTATTTTCCTGTCCCAATATACTAGTTTTGTTCAATCTTCTGTTGTATTTAGTTAAATTACCATTTTAAAATTACCAGCTTATTTAAAAGTATCAAATGTGCATTGTAAATCAGCCTGAAAGGGCTTTTTGGGACCTAAAAGAAATTAGGTTAGCAGCAAGCAATGAATTTTAATTTTTAGATGATGTGTAGTGTTCAACCACTTCCGACAGTGTTTATTATTTTTTAGTTCAACATTACATTCTACTGAAAAGCTTAAGAAAAAATGATAAATACCTGAAGTTTTCAGTTGAATCTAGAAAAGATTCTCTAGTAAAGATGGCATAGATGCATGACCTTATTTTGATTTAGATCTAACTATTTTATAACAAATATCTACACTTTTTTATAAGGGAGAGAAGAACATTATGTATAATCATTGAGTCTCTATTTTCAGCTGAAAATTAAGGCTCCATGAAGGTGCAGACTGCCAGGCAGCTATCATTTTATGTTTTCTTAATGAGTGGTTAATTTATGACTTGCTCAAAAATCAAAATATGGTGTATGATGTTGAGTTAATTTCATTTTATTTCCCGTTCTTTGAAAAAAGGCAGTGGGTTTCTGTTTCTACTGTTAAAGGTTCCTATTAGCTCTGGGTTTTTTCTTTAGATGTTGAAGATGCTAAAGGAGTAGTTGATTCATTTTACGTAGATTAAATGGGTTGCAGAAGTAAAATAGGGCACTAAAAAAAGAAGGAAACATTGTTACCTAGGAAAATATTCTGTCCTTTTGCTTTGTTTTTATTTTGCTTGATAAAATATCTATTTGGGCCTCTAAAACTCAACTCTGATTCTTTTTTATTTTTGTAATATTCCAAAAGAATTTAGATGCACCAACTTTTGGGGGAAGTTCAGGAAGTGAAAGAAATCTTCTCAAAGATAATATATTTTTAAAAACATTAAAGCGAAACTTAGTAAATGTGTACGTTTCTGTTCATTTGTTTTATGGCACCATTTTGCAGGAAATAAAATTTCCAGCAAGTTTGTAGCTTTGTTTAGTCTACTGACCCTTTGGTATAATCATAAATTAAATATGTTTATATTATCTTGACCTAGGCTTTTTAGAGTTATTGTATCCCGAGTAGATATTTATCATCTTTATCACTCTTCCGTTTGTATGTGTGTGTTTAAAACAGTGCCTCCCAGTGTCTGTCACCTCTTTAAGGTATTTCCCCAGAATCCCACCCTAAAATACTGCTGATATTTCTTTGATCAGAATTTTAGCAACAGACCACATTCAGCTGTAAGTGATGCAGCAAAATTAGTATTCAGCTGGGTACATTGTTGCCCTGAATAAAACTGGGATTTTTCTTAAATGGAATAAGACTATTGACTCTCTATATGTAGATAAATATATTGATTCTGTATCTCAAGTATATTCTGTTTAGACAAGTAAACTAAATAACACTTTACACTTTAAGCAAAGACCCACAGGGAAGTGGCATTAATGTTCTTTTCACTGAAAGACACTCAGTTTGTTGGTGGGGGACTCCGTAGTCAAGGCATTAGCCTCCTCTGTTCATATTTTTCTCTGTGTTTGGCACAATACTTAAGACAAAAATATCCTTCATAATTGGATAGGACCAAAATCAAATGGATGTTTTCTGAAGTGCTTGCTGTATATTGATAATATAGATATAGCCTTTACCTTCTCTTTTTGTCTTCATTATTATTTATTATCTTTATTTTATAGAGTATCTTCTAAAATTAAACATTATTACTTATGAAGCTCTTTTTCATGGACTCTTGTAGTAGGTTCAGTCTATGTTAATGCTAAACGTTAGAATAAGATTGGTTTTAATAACATGCATTTTAAATTCTGTGGATTTTTTACCTTCTTATAGCAACAAAATATAATGTGGTACGTAATTGTTTCTGCAGGCATTTAAGAAGCATTTTAAAAATACAAATATTTTGAATTTGTAAGTTTGTAGATATAAAGTTCTGTGGTAATACAGTGTTCTTGTGCCGAATCTGGAGATTCTTAAATAAGTAGGAAAAGGCTGTTTGTTGTCTGGCATCATTTCATCAATTTTTTAGTTACAAAGATGTCCCAGTAATTTAAGAACTTGTGTCTATAATTCCATTCTTTTTAGAGCAGAAATTCCTTAAGAATTTGAAATAGTAAAGTTATCATTCAGTTGAACAAAATTATTTTTAGGAAAAGTCATTAATTTGTCCTCTGTGAGAAGAAATCAAGAGATTAAAGTCTAGACTTTTCCTATTTAGAGTTTAGAATACTAGATTAAAGTCTAGAATTCTCCGTATACTTTTATTTTAAAGGAGGAATGACTGAATCATCCTAATTTCCGGCCTTGATTTTAAGTAATTTGAAACACTTTACTGTTTAAAGGAAGTTGCACAAAGCTGGTTATTAACCAAAATAGATTGGTAGTTCTCTCTTAGTTTACAAACTTGGAGTTCACTGTAAAAAATATATTTCTCAATGTGAAAATGTGTTCCTGTTATGTGGCTTCTTTTAGATTTGACTGGCTGGAATTACAAGTGTAATCAGGGCTCAGGCAGAAAGTAATGAGGACCTAAAATACAGGAGTGGCTATAGGAATGGAAACAATGGAGAAAGGTGGGACACAAAGCTGAGGGTGAATAGTAGGATTTGGCATTATTGGATGTGAATGTTGAGGGTAAGAGAGGCAACCAACATTGTAGTAGAGAAGAGAAACATGAGATGAAGTTGTGGAAGACATTCGTTTTGGACATGAGATGAAGTTGTGGAAGACATTCGTTTTGGACATGTTCACTTTGAGCAGTGAGAAGATCACATATTAAATCATTGGTCCTCAAGATTCTCTGTAGACTTTTTTAACCTTCAAAGCACATACCTGTGGCCACCCCTGCTTTACCCAATATTATGACTTGAACTTTTTGGGGACATTTAAGAATCTTGAAGGAAGAAAGAGGAGCCATTTTTCTTTGTCTTTTTAAAATAAGGTTTATTTCTTTTCTTTTCTCTCTTCTTCTTTTTTTTTTCTTTAGTGGAGACACTGGGGATTGAGCCCAGGACCTAGTGCATACCAAGCTTGCGCTCTAACCAGTGAGCTGGACTCCCCATCCATTTGTCAAATTATATGTGCTCATTGTTCCTCTAAAGTTATGAATTTGGGGAGGATGATGCCCATAGGTGATTCTGATAAACAACTTTGAGGAAAAAACAAATTTGAGAATTATAAATGCTAGTAGAAACTCTGGCTGTAAATCTGGAGCAAGGGTTGTGGTACAGCTGCAGTTTTGTAGCTATCTCTGTGGAAAAGAAGGAAAAGAAGACCTGAAACTGGAACCGCTGATGATTGTAGAGATATGGGGACTCATAGGATTGAGAGCTAGAAAAGAGAGCTCAGAGCAAACTGGCCTGCGGGGAGGGTCAGTGAAGCCCTGGGCAACCAGGGTGAGGAGCTTACAAAGGAAATTAGAAGGTCCTTGGTAACCCACAAGAGAGCTGGTTGGTAGAGATGGGGGAGCAGAAGCCATATTTTAAGGAACTGAATGAAGGGAGAGGTGAGTGCATGGAAACACCAGGTACAGACTATTTCGTGTAGTTTGGCAATAAATGATAGTGAAAGGTCTGGTAGCTAGAAGCTGTAACAAGGATAAAAAAGATTAAAAAAAATGTTTTCCCCTTAGGATATAGGAAACTACAGCATTTTGTGAACTAAGATGAAGAAGTCAAAGTTCCTAGCATAACACACAAAGTCCTTTGTGACTGTGTCTTGTCCCATGTCTACTCCTCCAGCATCATCTTTTGAAGCTCTCTGCTTCAGCAAAAGTAAACTACTTTGCTCCCCAGCCCAGTCTCTGTGAGCAGGCATTTCAACAAGGCTAGCTTTCACTAGTGATTAGGATTCCTCATACCCATCTTGTTAGTATTGCAGAATTTGGGGCCCTCCCCAGACGTACTGAAGTAGAATCTGCGTTTTAACAAAATCCTCAGTTGATTCATATTTTGCTTTGAAATTCAAGAGCTGTCCAACAAGACTGTTTGCCCTCTGAGAGCAGCCACAGTGTGAGGTTTTACTTGTCTCTTCAGTGCCTTGCAAGGAGTCTACATTAAGTATTTGGCCAACAAATGATGCTTTCATGTGTTCAATGTATTTATGAAGCACTTAGTGGATGGCAGGTACTGTTCCAGATAGGGAAATCATCAGTGAACCAGGTGGATAAGATTCCTGCCCTCATGAGACTTACATTGCGTGGGAAGAAACAGACAAACGTGTAAACTGAGAATCTCAGATGTTGATATGAAGAAAATAAAACAGGATGATGGGATGCAGAGAGAGTTTTAGGCCATGTCAGTTGAGCTGAGACTTGAATGATAAGGAAAGCTAGTTCACCTTTTTGCAAATACAGAAATGTCTGGCGTGAAAGAAGTAAGGCAAGGTGTTGTAAGTGATGAGGTCAAAAGAAGTAAGCAGGGGCTAAATCACATTGGACAGTGAGTCTCAATAGTTTTAGACCCACTGCCCCTTACTTTAACAGATTGTTGTAACATCTCATTTAATATTCTGAAATGAAAGTGATAGATCACATAACCTACACTCAATACTTTAAAATATAAAGAATATAAATAAAAGAAATATTTATAACACTTATAATAAATAGTAGATATCTCAATAGGTTAATGTTTACTCGTGACAACATGAGAAGACATAATAAAGTCAGATGCAACCTAATACGTAAAAGTATTTTAAATGTGAAATGCAGACCAATACGGGTATATTGGTGCTTCAGCTCTTGGCCTTGGTGGCTAACTCTGGCTAAAGTTTGAGCAAAATAGAATGTAGTCTCTTCACTTTTCGCAATGGTTACATTCAAGAAAAATTCATTGTAGAGTAAAAATGTGCAAGAAGTACTTTGTGTTCACATAGGAGACGGAGAGGGTTCTAGGCTCAGCTAGTTATTAAGAGTTTTTTACTTACATTAATATCATAGAATAGTTGAAGTTCTCACAGGATATAGGAGAATGCACCACTGTGGATTTTCCCATACATCATAGGATACTTGGGACTCTTGGGCCCTTATCCACTAAGTGTCAGTAAGAGCCCACTAATAATCATGACAACTGAAAAATGCCTCTCAAAATTTCCCTTAAGGAGTTGGTACTGCCTCTGTTGAGGAGCACTGATTGTGTTGTAGGCCATAGTAAGAAATACGGATTTTTTTTCTCATTGCCATGGTGACCATTGGAGGGTTTCAAATGGGTGGGAAAAAGGGGAGACAATCTGTGACTTCTGCATGGAGGATGGACTGCAAGTAGGTAACATAATCTAGGAAGTGGAACTGGTGGAACAAGGCTGTAGAGGCAAGAAGAGTCAATCAAAGATGCAGGTAGTAGAATTAGTCTTAAAGACAATAGGAAAAATTCTAAAGTGCCTGGAGAGAAGGAAAAAAGATTGGATGATGATGTAAATGCATCTTAAGATAAAGATGGGAGTTTCTAGCTCACTTTGGATGGCCTCAACCTTGTCAGTAAAACGAAGGATATGGTTACCCGCTGACTGGGCCTGAGGTAGGGTAGAGGACTGAGGGTAAAGAGACTGGGAATCGCTATTATGAAGAGTATACCAGGAAGTAACCAGGAAAAGCATAAAGGGGTTTGAGGACAGCAGTGAAGACCCTTAGCAAGAGTATGAGTTGTTACCAGCCAGCTTTGTTACAGGAGGTCCTGCAGCCTTTCTTGGCAGATACGGACTACCTACATTTATTCAGGATTGATGAATTGAGTAGTTTAAGTTCAGAAGAGTGAGGAACCCAAGGATGCTGGTGAGACCACAGCTGAAATAGTTGAAATGGCTGATGATATAGTTCAAGATAGGAGAGAAATCAAGTGAAAGCAGTAGGGACCAAAAGACCTGGAAAAATGGAAAGATTCAAGGGGAGGGAATGGATAGAGGTCCCACTGAGGGCAGAAAGAAGGTTCAGTTGGAGAGTTGGAATGATTGGGAGTCACAGTCATAGAAAGAAAGTTCTGAGCATGAAACCTTAGCGTTAAAACAGTTTAAAGTGTTGGTGAGACTCAAGTCTGACAGTGCTTAAGAACAGCCAACGTAGGATGAAGATGAAGGTCATTAGGGCTGAGACAGTCAGCAAACAGGAAACCCAACAGCACCATTTTGCTGTGCATCTTGCAAGGAAGGATCTTGATGAGCCAGGATTCTTTTTTTGCTTAATTATTTTGTGATCACATCTCATGTACCTAGTATTTACAGTACAGTCTCCTCATATTAGGATAGAAACCTCATGAGGTCAGTCTCTTTTGTTTAACACTTTATCCCAGCATCCCAACAGTGCCTGGCACATACAGTAAAGGTAGGAAGTCACCCACACACGAACTAATAGGGAAGTTAAAAGACAAAAGCAGTAAAATCCTCCGTATCCACAATAAGCAGTTAAAGGATACACAAAACAGATGTAAAGTACGATATCAAAACCAGTAATCGTGAGGGGAGGGGAGTACGAATGCAGGGTATCTAAAATGCATTTGAAATTAAGACAGTGACTTAAAGCAATCATGTGTATATATAGACTTCTATGCCAAAATCTCACAAGAACCTCAAACCAAACAGTGCCTGGCACATAGTAAGTGCTCCATGAGTGATTGTTGAATGCTTGAGTAAATAACAGCTATCATTTATTAAGCACCTATCAGAAATATGTAGAGTGCTTTATACATTTATTTCTTAACTCTGCAACGTAGACGTTTTTGTCCCTATTTTACAAATGAGGATGCTGAAGCAGAGAGGCAACAGACTGCCTGGGTTGTACTCCAACTCTGCCACTTAAAAGCTGTCACGTTAGACAAGTTATTTATAGTCTTAGTGCCTCAGTTTCCTCATCTGTAAAATAAGAATGATAATGAAGTGTGCTGACTCCAGCTTCTCCGACTTCACCAAGAAAGTACCACATCACATCATTATACATAGTATTTCTATGCTATTCTTAACTAGGGGTGATGTAGTCTCCTTACAGATAATAACCTAATTCTTGAACATCCCCGTGTGTACATTTTTAGCTATAAAATTCCACATGGCACATGATTCACTGAGCCCAGGGACTAAGAATATCTACCAAACGCTAGGTGTTCCTGCATATATTTTGCACAAGGCAAATATATATCGTGTGTAATACTAATCAGTACATTTTTCGCAGATGTTAGAAGTTTGGTACACTCAGCATGGGCAAGCCTTGCCAATAGAGAAACCAGCCTGCTTTCTATGCTTTAATTACTCAGTTATCTGTATTTCATTAGAATTTGAATCATACTGAAAATAGTGGTTAGTTTCTGAGAATATATGTTCACTACAGGGAAGTACAGTCTGTCTCATGTGTACAGTTTTCTGTTCATTTTCATGTATAAAGTTGATAATAGACTATCAAGTTTTTAATGATTATTCTTATTTCATTTTAGATTTTATGTTTACAATAAAAAGAGACGTCTTGTCAACACACCTTATGTGGATAACTCCTATAAATGGGCTGGTGGTGGATTTCTGTCTACAGTGGGTGACCTTCTGAAATTTGGGAATGCAATGCTGTATGGTTACCAAGTCGGGCTGTTTAAGAACTCAAATGAAAATCTTTTACCCGGATATCTCAAACCAGAAACAATGCTTATGATTTGGACACCAGTCCCTAACACAGAAATGTCTTGGGATAAAGAGGGTAAATACGCGATGGCATGGGGTGTTGTGGAAAAGAAGCAAACGTACGGTTCTTGTAGGAAGCAACGGCATTATGCCTCACATACTGGAAGTGCAGTGGGTGCCAGTAGTGTCCTGCTGGTCCTCCCTGAAGAACTGGATGCAGAGGCTATAAATAACAAGGTTCCCCCACGAGGAGTAGTTGTTTCCATCATATGTAACATGCAGTCTGTTGGCCTCAATAGCACTGCTTTAAAGATTGCTCTGGAATTTGATAAAGACAGATCAGACTTACCTTAACATCACAGGTGCAGAATGAGCTGTTTTGGGTTTTGGGGGTTTTTTCTTTGAAACATTGAAATCCCAAAATACATGATATTTTTTAAGAATAAATTTGTAATAGAGTGTAATTGAATGCAGAGGATTATGGACCTCTAATTGCTTAATTTTGTAATTGTCTTTTATTGTAGGATTAGTTCTCTAAACTCAGGGAAGTAACTATATTTTTACTTTTTGAAAAAAGTGTTAACTCTTGAAATAAAATATTCTGATAAAAAATGTACTTTTTGAATGTGTAATGTAGAGAAAAATCTCATCCAGTAGGACCTCAAAATATTGTTCTTTTACTATGACAGCTGAAACAAGATTATGAGAAATGGTGTATTAGTTATTTATTGCCACTTTAAAGAACACGCATTTATTATCCCATGGTTTCTGAGGCTTGGGAATTCAGGAATAGCTTGGCTGGGGGGATCTGGCACCAGAGTCTGTAATAAGGATGCAGACAAGATGTTGTAGTCATCTAAAGGCTTCTCTGGTCTAGAGAAAATGCTTCCAAAATGGCTCATTCACTCTCATTACTGATGGCAGGAATCTGTCCTCTGACTTGTGGTTGGCAAGAGGCATTAGTTTCTTACCATGTGGATGTCTCTTTAGGACTGCTTGAATATCTCAATGTCATGATAATTGGATTCCCCCACAACAAACAATGAGAGAGAGAGAGAGAGAGAGAGAAATGAACCAGGCAGAAGTCAAAGTCTTTTTTAACCTAGCCTAAAAAGTCACATTTGCTGTATTCTGTAGATCACATATACCAACCCTTAGATAGTCTTGGAAGGACTACACAGGGTGTGAATGTGAATATCAGGAGGTGGAGATCATTGGGGGTCATCCTGGAAGTTGGTTACTACAGTATGACCTTTCGTCCCCAATGATTCATGTCTTTTCCACATGAAAAATACACTTCCTTCCCCTAAGTTCTCCAGAAAATTCATCTCATCACATCATCAGCTTGGAGCCCAGTATCTGTCATCCAAATCAGGTCTAGTGGTGGATGAAGCTCTTTGGGAGTAGTGCCCTAAGTATACCAACTCGAGTACAGTTCCTCTTGATCTTAAACCAAAGTGCTTGAGTGAACCAAAGATGTTATTTGCTCCCCACATCCAACCAGACACAGGTTGGCAGCTGCTTGAAAATAGTTCTCAAGGCTTGGGAGTAATTCTTGGCTGTGTTTTCTGAGCCCTTGGTTCTTCGATCTGAGTCATTCTTTGTTCATGAAAGGCAGCATGTGTTTGCATCTGAGTGGTTTTCTCAGCCTGCTTTCTGCTTGTAAAAGTTTGGTGGCCCAAAGACCTCTTTTGTATTCTCCGTTCTGTCTAAGTTAACAGTGTTTCTGCTAATATAATTTTTTAAAACATTGTGAATCCCATACAAATCTCATTGGGGTTCATGCTCGTAAATGAAAGCCATACCCAAAAATCTCTTCAAAATATATCCCTCTCTAACTTAGAATTCTGCTGAGACAACTGGAGAAAACACCATCAAGCTTCCATTAAGACCTATTATTTAAATAGTTCTTTAAAGCACCATCTTGGCTTTTTCCTCAGTCTTAAAGGATCTCATAGTCACAGCCTCAACTTCATCTTTAGACCATTTTTGTCCTAGAAGTGCCCTAAATTTTATGTTTGCCTTAAAGCCATTTCTTAATTTTGGCATCGTTTGCCATCTGGAGAGTCTGGGAATTTCCCAAATCATCAATTATTGATTCCTTTTTGTTTAGTAGCCCTTCCTTTAGCTTATTTCTCTCCTGCGTTTTAGTATAAGCAGGAAGAAGAGGCCAAGAGGCACGTTCAACACTGTCTGGAAATCTCAGCTAGATCACCCAGGTCATAAGGCACATTTTTCTGCTTTCTGTGTTCTTGCCAGCAGCACCATTGCTAAGCTTTCTGCCACTACAGAACAATAATCTTTCCTCCAATGTCCAAGATTTTCCTTACTCTCTTTTAAGTCCACAATTGCAGCCTCCTCAAAGGCCATTATAATTCTAAACAGTTTCTTCAAGACTCCTCTGGCTTTCATTAACACTCTTCAAAAGCTTTCCAACTTTTTTTTTTAATTGAAGTTTAGTTGATTTACAACAGTGTGTTAGTTTCTGGTGTACAGCATAGTGATTCAGTTACACATTTACATGTATATTCTTTTACAAATTTTTTTCCATTATAGGTTATTACAAAATATTGAATATAGTTCCCTGTGCTATACAGTAGGACCTTGTTGTTTATCTATTTTATATATAGTAGTTTGTATCTGCTAATCCCAAACTCCTAATCTGTTCCTCCCCCACCCCTTTTCACCTTTGGTAACCATAATTTTGTTTTCTATATCTGTGAGTTTCTGTTTTGTAATAAGTTCATTTGTATCATTTTTTTAGATTCCACGTATAAGTGATATCATATAATATTTGTCATTCTCTCTCTGACTTCACTTAGTATGATAATTTCTAGGTCCACCAATGTTGCTACAAATGACATTATTTCATTCTTTTTTATGGCTCAGTAGTATTTCATTGTAAAAATACATGACATCTTCTTTATCCAGTCATCTGCTGATGAACATTTAGGTTGTTTCCATGTCTTGGCTATTGTAAATAGTGCTGCTATGAACATTAGGGTGCATGTGTCTTTTTAAATTATAGTTTTCTCTGGATATGCCCAGGAGTGGGATTGCTGGATCATATGGTAAGTCTATTTTTAGTTTTTAAAGGAACCTCTTCTGTTTTCCATTGTAGCTGCACCAATTTACATTCCCACTAATAATGTAGGAGAGTTCCCTTTTCTCCCCATCCTCTCCAGCATTTATTACTTGTGGATTTTTTTTTTCTTAGAATGTGTTTGTGCCTATATGACTACCAGTCTAATGCAAGTAGATATAGTAATGGGTTAACATACTTGAAAAACAGGGTAACCACAAATCAAAACTATACAATAGAGTCACAAAAGCCAAAGAGAAGAGAGCACAAGCATAATACAAAAGAAAATCATTAAACCACAAAAGGAAAACAAAAAGAAGAGAACAAAGAAGAAATACAAAAGCAACTGGAAAACAAGGTTTAAAATGGCAATAAACACACATCTATCAATAATCAATAATTAGTCAATGGACTAAATGCTCCAATCAAAAGACATAGAATGGGGGGAAAAAAGACATAGAGTGGCAGATTGGATCATAAAACAAGAGCTTACAATATGCTGCCTATAAGAGATCCACTTTAGAGCAAATGACACACAAAGATTGAAAGTGAGGGGAAGGAAAAAGATATTTTATGCAAATGGAAATGACAGGAAAGTGGGGGTAGCAATACTCCTATCAGACAAAATAAACTTTAAAACAAATCCATAAAGGAAGATGAAGGACACTATATAATGATAAAAGGATTGATACAAGAAGAAGATATTACACTTGTTAACATATATACACCCAATATAGGAGCACCTAAATACATGAAGCAAATACTAACGGACATAATGGGAAAAGTTGATGGGAATACAATAATAGTAGAAGACTTAATATCCCACTGACATCAATGGACACATCTTCCAGACAAAATCAATAAGATGACAAGAGGTCTGATTTGACACAATAGGATAGTTAGACTTGGTATTTTTCAGGACATGACATCAAAAAAAAAAAACTTATTCTTTTCAACTGCACATGAAACATTCTCTAGGATAGACCACATACTAGATCACAAAACAAGCCTCAACAAATTTAAGAGGACAAATTATTTCATCATCTTTTCTGACCACCATGGTGTGAAACTAGAAATCAACCACAGAAAGATTAATCAAAATTTTATACGCTCTAATGAAAGAGGGATTTTCTACAGTTCTGAGCTTAGCCTGCTTCTTCACTTTTCACTTTGATCTATAAAGGTAAATAGATGGGTATCTCTGAAGGTTGAAGTATAGTGAAAGCAGCAGCCTAAAACAGATCCATTTCATCCCCTTGTTTCTTTCTAGATTCTCCTCACCTCCAGATCTTATACAGATATTTGTCAAAATTTTCAATCCATGCTGCCTTTTGTAAATATAAAGATGCCTTCCTTTAATATTATTCTAAATTTTAAACATTAAATATTGTGACTAAAACAAATCAAATCAATGGCAATTTAAAAAAATATTTCTGATATTAAAAGATATATTTTTAGTTTGGTCATGTGATATAAGTGTGAGCTTTGAACCTTAGCACACACCATAGAGCAAACTGGAGTGGCCAAGGAGCTGACATTTACGTTGGGAGAGAAGGAAGAGCAAAGAGCATTGTCTGAGTATCAAGGAGAAGTGTGATACAACTGAACTATCATTGTGGGAGGAGCCACCAAGTGTGAAGAGCCTTGTGAACTTAGTGAACATGTATTATGAACAGAGAACTTGCCTTAAGCTAGTTTTTTTTCGCCTTTTGAGGATTTTTGTTGAAGCTCTGAGAAGAGCTGTGAACCTACTCAGAAAATGAGCCAATATACAAATGTTGAGGATTCACAGATCCCAGATTAAGAATTCCCATTTGCTATGATAACTTCTTTTCTTACTTAATACTGTTAGAAACAGTAGTGATAAATTTCCACATCTCCCAAAGTGGTACCTCTGGTGTGGCTGATCCTTTATATTAGGGAAAACAGCTCAAGGGAACTTGATGCAAGTTTCTTGGTTTTTTTGTTATTTTTTCCTGAAATTTACAACATATCAGATGACCATTGGCTACAAATGACTTGCTTTACCTTCCTTGTATTAAATTGATCTTTCATTTTGTGAAATTAAAAAATATATACTAGAAAGCACAAAAGGTTCAAATGGCAAATACCTATATAATCCCAACACCCACAATTTATTTATTTTTTAAAATTTTGTTTCTTATTGAAGTGTAGTTGACTTCCAATGTTAGTTTCAGGTGTACAACAAAGCAATTCAGTTATATGTATACATACATGTATTTTTTTCAGATTCTTTTCCATTGTATGCTATTACAAAAAATTGAATATAATTCCTTGTGATATACAGTAGTTCCTTGTTGTTTATCTATTTTATATATATTAATGTATATCTGTTAACTCCAAACTCCTAATTTTTCCCTCTCCTGCCCTTTCTCCTTTGGAAACTACAATTTATTTTCTATGTCCATGAGTCTATTTTTGGTTTGTAAATAAGATTTGTGTCTTTTTTTAGATTCCACATATAAGTGATATGATATTTCTCTTTCTCTGTCTGACTTCACTTAATACG